TCCACTCACTCACTCGATCCCGCCTCCGTGGTTCCGTCCTCTCTCTCTCTCTCTCTCTCTCTTGTGCCGTGATGACGAGAATCGATCTTGCTTCCTCCGGAAGCGAAGCGCACGCCAGCCAGGCCTGTTTCCATCCGACTCGACCCCCCTCCAGAAACCACGCACGGACGGACAACGCCCTCCCACCCGCCCCCCGAACAGCCGGTTGGATCAACTATCGACTACAGACTACAGACTATCGACTACAGACTACAGACTACAGACTACAGACTACAGACTATAGCCTATAGATAGAGCGCGTACGGTCTAAATAAACTCTATCCGCGCCTCTTCCTTCCTTACTTCCTTACATATCTTCCGACCGGTAGTACAGTAGCAGATCCCAGATGGAACCCCTCCCTCCAGCAGGGGAAGGAAGGAAAGGAAAGAAAACGGTCCCCCAGGTCGCCGCAGATCACTCCCCAATACGGGCGACGGGCGGGCACGCGCTAAATTTATGTAGTACGACGACAGGGCCTAGAAGTAGAAGTACTACGTAGAAGGGAGGGAGGTGTTACAGGCTGAGGGGGGGGGGGTGTCTGGGAAGGTTAAATTCTCCGCTTTTATTTACTGTATTGTAGAACCCCTGCTTGCCCTACCCCTCAGGGTGGGTGGGAAAAAAGCTCCGTCTGCGACGTTTGCGCCGTAGGCGTTGCCGGCTGGAGGAGACGAGACGAGAGCGGATGCGACGCAGAAAAAATGGGGGTGGGAAAAGAAAGTAAAGTCAAGTCTCCGTCTAGGTATACAGTACTGCGAAAAGAAGAGAGAGAGAGAGTTCACTCGATCAGGTCCTCGTCGATACCTGGGTAATGGAAGAGTGGAGAGGGGGGAGATCGCCCGGGTGGAGGTGTAAAAAAGACCGACTCGAGAGGTAAGAGGATGATGTGGGCCAGGTACGGCCGTCGATCCATTGGCGCCGTGGCGATCAGGGCCTTCTTTTTCTACAGGATGTGCGTAGTACTAGTACTAGTAGTACGTAGCAGTACAGAGAAACTATATGCGGTATATACATTTTCGGGACTTTTTTTTTTTTTGTTTTTTTTTTTGTTTTTTTTGGGGGGCTGTCGCTCCGGTCCTGACGATGTCAGGGCTTACTTACGACGTACACTACGTACACTACGTACGTAGGAGTCCTGACTGTAGCAGGCCACACCTCCTGCGGAAGATGGTGTAGCGAGGGTGGTCAGCGATCGGAGGCAAAATAGAAGCCAACGTTTCCATAAGAAGAAATAGATCGAGGAGAGGGGGGAAGAGGGGGGAGAAAAAAAAAAAAGAGTTTCAATCTTTCCGTCCGGGATTTTTAAAAAAGACAAGGTTACAACCGCGTCTGGGACGCCGCGCCCAGGTCCGGTTTCGAAGGCTCTCTTCGCTCGGTTTCTGATTGAGCGATCGATTGATCGAACCACGCGTCTGGGAAGAGGGCGCGCGGGGTTGGGAAGCTGCATCCGCTGGGGGATAGCAAGCATCGGGACTTTTCGAGAATGGGAACGGCGAAACGAAAGGAGAATAAAGAAAGAAGAAAAAACAAAGTAAATAAATAAAAAAATAAGATTTTTTTTTTTGGGAGAGGCATTTTCTATTTTTGGTGACCCACAGATCCACAGATTCTCACTATCGCGTCCCCACTTACGTAGTACCATCGACCCGAGTCCCGAAGGATCGTCGAACCTTGCTCGGAGATCTTGACTCGTCAAAGGCGGGGGAAGATTTAATATCTTAAACTGCTACGTAGTACCGGTACTTATCGCGGTTAATCTGCTTTGACGTGGTGGGTCAGAAGAAGCGAATCCGACCACTAGCTGACAGACCGGATGCTAAGGATACCCAGTCCGTATGAGAGTCAGGTGGGGGAGAGTGATCTCCGGCATTATAATTTAGATGGAAGACTCTTTACACCAGACCCGAGGGGGTTCCCCAACGGAAAGAGAGAGAGAGAGAGAGAAAGAGAGAGAGAAAGAAAGAAAAAGACAAGATCGATTGCTTGGCGGAGTCGATTTCAAGGCTTTCACACCCGCCTTGACGATTTTCGAGGATTTCACGCTTCCCCGATCTACTAGACGCCATCTGAGTTGAAATAATTCTTTAAGAAGGGGGGGTTCGGGGTTGGCTTCTTTCCTTGCCTCGGCCCGGCTGTGGCTCGCTCGTGGGTATGAATCTGTTTCGTTTCCAGTCGTGAAATCGGGCGAGGATGGCCCCTCTCCGAGTACCGGTACCGTATCCACCACGAATCCATTGCGGCTTGCCGTCTGCAGGCTTGGCGCACGGTGTATAGCTGCGGCGGGCACCAGCGAGTCAATCTAATCAATCTGCCTGTTTATCACACGCTCCGAAGAAGGCGAGAAATCGGGGCTCTCGCTGGTAGAAGCCTCCCGACAGATATGTTCAATTACCGGTAGATGTGTAAGCTGGAACCCCAGATGAACCCCGTCACTATGGGGCTGCAGTTGAGTTTTGCTCTTTTTTATTCTCTTCTTTCTCTCTCTCTCCTTTAAAAAATAAATAAAAACAAAAATAAAAAACTTAAGTCATTCTGTTGCATTTTCTCTCCACCTTTTCAATTACACCTTCTGTTCATGGTTGAATTTGTTCCTCGCTGTGGGCAATGATAGTTTGTCTTGTCTCTGGCTGGCGATGCAAGTTTAGTTTTGCCGAGGATGAGAGTCATGTGGGCACGTGCCGGCCTACCTGAGGAGTCGTACAGAGAGCGGACTGCATCTCGGTTGTGCCCCCTTTATCCAACAAGGATCCTCACCAGCCCAGTTTTGTTGTTCCGGAAGACTTACGCGCCATCGAAATAGTCTACATCGCAGATAAGAGTCTTCATGGACCCCGTCCACCCGTCGTCCGAGGCGGCCGGGACCTCCGGGACCTCCGGGACCTCTGAGACCTCTGAGACCTCGGAGATCAAGCGCCGGGGCAAGCGCGCGAAACTAAGCGGGTACCTGTGAGTACATCGTGATCCAGAATCATCGGCCCCAGAAAACATTCTGAGTCATGACAGATCAGATGGGTGGGCGAGAGGAAAAGAGAGATCCAAGGAGGAGCTGATCAAGGGGTGGGAGAAGGGAAGATTAATGGCCGAAACCGAGTTCGTCAAAGGAAAGACCGGGCTGGAACACTCTCTGGGTCTGGGTGCCACGCCGAACGTGATCCCGCCGGGCGAGGCTCGCGTGGACGGCAAGCTTCGAACGGTTGAGATAGGCTGGCACCCGATGGCGGTAATGGGAGGAAAGTGGCTGGCTGAGCAGTCCGGGAAGATAGTCGCGAAGAATATCGGCAAGTACCCTGACCCAACTCAGCACTGGGCGGTTCTGGTTGGCGGCTATATTCACCAGCTGTGGATGGACGAGAAGCTTTGCATCATCTACAACAACGATAAGCTGGACCGGCCGCAATGGAAAACGTTCGAGGTGGGGAAGACCAGGTTCACCGACGAAGCGGTGAGACAAGCCGGTAGGTATCCGGTGGGTTCCCCGACTCTACCACGAGTAGAATACTGATCTGCAACATAGCAACCATGACAATCTACCAGATGAGGCTGGAACGACCACTCTATAACCTCGTCACCAACAACTGCCAGGATTTCGCTATCCGTCTCCTGGATGCCATTCAAGTCGGCGCTCATGCTCAATTCGTGACCAGCTTTGCCATCTATCAAGCTGCTACTGGCGATGGTACAATCAAAGACCTTTTCGCCGATGCATATCCCGAAGAGCAGGCAAAAGATCCGGCCAAAACCGGCATTCAGCGGACGGATACGATCGTGAAGGCTCAAAAGGTCATGGATGAGAATACCACGAAGCTGGATAACCACAAGACCAAGAGATTTCCGCTTTTCCATAGTAAAGGCGGAAGCGCCTGATCGATCTTTTCCTACCGCGGGCGCTGGGTGATTCTGAAAGCATTTCCAATTTCGATAGATACCCCGAGAGTCGCAAAACTTTACTAGAGAGTTGCGAAGATCACGCGAGTGTGATTGAGCTATTCTGCAGAGACGCACTGTTAAGACTTTGGCCAGCACTCTGGCACTGTGTTCCATTTGTTCCTTGCTAATTCGCTTCAGTCAGTACTTCTAATACCTTCCTATTCATCAGATGCATGTCACACACGGAAGGGAAAGTGGCTTACAGCCAGTCAGTCGCACGTCATGAGACGGATGCGAAAATGAGATTTCATCTGTCGGTCTGCTATGGCTTCTTCGTTCTGGATCAGCATAATTTATTTACCCGCCCTGTCGAAAATCGTTTGTGTTGTAGACTTGCATTATATATCTGGCCTCTTGCTCCTATTTCCAGTTTTGTGTGCAAGCGTCTGCTCGTTTATCGTGCTTTGTTTTCACGACTCGCTTAATATTACGAGTACAGCATGTACTTACCTGCCTACTCACTCATATCTGTATTCGGAAGGGACCATGCTTCCATTCCAGAAAAATCTGGAGAACACGGGATCCTGCCTCGTCGGAGTCGGCCTTCTTTGTGCTACCATCGCGAACGTAACCTTTCGTCGCCACCGAGAACAAAGACATGCTTCGCTTCAGAAACAACAAAGCCGATCTGCCTCCCTATAAACCTGGCACCATTCCTCGCCCCAAAAAAAAACCTCTTCCCATTCACACGCCGCCTTCAATAATACATCAGATCTCGTTCATCTCATCTCACTATGCGAAGTTCACGCTCGGCTGCTCCGTCGGGCTCCGGCGGGAGGAAGAGATCAGCAGAAGAATTGACCCCCCCACCGTCACCAGCAACCAAGCTGAGGGCCGAAGCCAAAGTCGCCGACCTGGTCGAGCTCATCACGAACCAGAACATCCCCGTCTACACCGACCCGGATCCGGAATACTTTCGATCTATTGCCGTTGCCAACCGTCTCTTCCGCTTCGCGCAGCCTGCCTTGGTCGTCCATCCGCGCACCACTGCCGACGTGGAGTATATCATCAGGCAGGCGAAGCGCGCCCATATCCCGGTCACGATCAAGAACGGTGGCCATGCCTACTCGGGCTCGTCCGTTGCGTTCAAGGGCCGCGTATTGATCGACATGCATCTCATGAGCGCCGTCAAGCTTGACATGGCGTCGAAGACTATCCGTATCGAAGGAGGCGCGCTGTGGGGGCACTGCTATAAGCCTTTCGTTGTCGGGGAGCACATTGACGGGTACACGATCAATGGTCAGTTCTTCGTCGGCTTCGTTTCCGGGCTGGCTCTTTGAGGTGGGGCGCTGACTGACTGACATGCTTCAGGTGGACGATGTCCTGGGGTGGGAGTCGCGGGATTCTTGATGGGAGGAGGCATTGGCCCCTTCACCCGGTCGTTTGGAATGGGCTGCGATAGGTTGCTGCAGGCTACTCTTGTCACTGCCAACAGTGGAACGGTGACTGTCAAGGCAACCGATGATCCCAGGTCCTCCCGAGGGAAGCTCTTCTGGGCGTTGTGCGGTGGGGGCGGCGGCAACTTTGGCGTCGTTGTAGAGCTCAAGATGGCGGTAGAGGAGTTGAAGAACCCGACCTTGGTCAACACTAGGTATGTCCACCCACTCCTGATCTTTGCAGAGCGAGCGGGCCACTTGGTACCGATTCTCGCCCCATCTGCGGATCCTCCGGAATAACTGACCAGTGACAGATTCACGTGGTATCCGAAAGACTTGGAGACAATGACCGTCACCATGAAGCAATTCTACAAGCACAAATGGTCTAACGAGATGACCATTGACTCAACTGTAGGCGCTTTCCGGCATTGTTCCCCGAGACTCCTCTGAGAGATCTCGCCCGCTAATATTTGCATTATTCATTAGTGGCTATGCGATCATAGACCCCGTGTCACCAATCTCCCCGGCCACATGGCTGTCCGCTTCGTCGCCAACTTCAACGGCACCGGCGCCGAGTTCGACAGGCAGATCAGGCGGGCCATCAAGGAGCCATCGCTGCTCGAGCTGTTCGACGAGCGAAAGATACAGGAGAAGTCTTCCCAGTTCCTGTACGAGTCGCTCGATGACCAGTGGCGAGAAGAAGGCCGTCAGGTCAAGCCCGCCAACCCGAGCTGGTCCATCTACACGTCTTTTGTCTTTGGCAATGACGCGGCGACCATCACCCAGGTCACGGCGATCATCAAGTCCGAGCTGGCCTGCTTTAAACACAAGTACAAAGGGCAGGAGGTCCTGGCACAGATCGCGTTCATCCACACGGGAGGCGAGGCGAGCCGGCGATCTTCGACTGCAACGGCTTTCCCCTGGCGTGATTCGGGTACGTACATCTTCTTCCACCGTTCGCCTCTTTTTTTTTTTTTTAATTCCCACTTGAGCAAATCTTCCCGATATACATACATACACATCCATCACTCAACTCCCAACTCCCAACTCCCAACTCCCATCCCCATCCCCATCCCCATCCCCATCCCCATCCCCATCCCCATCCCCATCCCCATCCCCATCCCCATCCCCATCCCCATCCATCCACATCCCACCGACTAACACCACCCTCCCCCTCCCCCCTGCCTAGTCTACCAAGCCTACATCATGGTCTCCTGGGACGAGCCCGAAGCCAAATGGATGGAACACGCCATGCGCTCCTTCCTCCGGAAGTTCAAGGCCCAGCTCCAACCCTTCTCGCAGTTCGGCGGCCGCGCCGCCTTTGTCAACTTCCCCGACAGCAGCATCGCCCGCGAGCACCACGAGAACGCCTACTACGGCCCCAACGCCGCCCGCCTGCAGGCCGTCAAGGCCCTCTGGGACGCGGACAACTTCTTCGACTGGCCGCAGGCGGTGCGGCTGCCGATGTTGGATGTGCTGGAGATTAGGGCGAATGTGGAGGAGTTGGAGGAGGAGGAGGAGGAGGAGGAGGGTGATGCGCCGCTGCCGTTGCCGCTGCCGTTGCCGAGATTGAGGGCGAGGGGGAGGGGGAAGGGGAAGGGGAGGGGGAGTGGGAGTGCTGTTGGGGAAGGAAGTGGTGGTGGAGAGCAGGCCCAGGCCCAAGCCCAAGCCCAGGCCCCCCAGGCCCCCCAGCAGCAGCAGCAGCAGCCAACGCATGACTGGGAATGCTTCCGAGCGAAAAGAAACGAGGACTTCAACGGGAATCAGAGGGATACTACGTAAGTCAGTCAGTCAGGCGGTCAGTAAAGTAGGTCGCCCCTTCCTGATCCAGACGATCCGCCACCGCTGTCGGAAGGTCAGACTGGCCATGGCTAGAGATTGGGATATGCACCGCCAAATAGCATCTGTTCACTCATCAATCTGATATTTTATATTTCTCTTTTCTTATTTGGATTTAGATCCACATCTAAATAGGTACAGACTCAGATAAATAGGTACGGACTCAGATAAGTAGGTACGGACTCAGATAAGTAGGTACACACTCAAATCAATCTCAATCACGCACGCCTGCCTCTCCCGCTTTGCTTTGCTTTGCTTTGCTTTGCATGCATGCATTACCGGTATTTAGGGGTAGTTTACCCTCATTTGATCACGTACTGTATAACTGCCTGTTCTTTGACACCCGACGGTTCTTGATCCCTTTGCCCGAGCCCGCCCGCACCCAACAATCAATCAATCAATCAATCAATCAATCAATCAATCAATCAATCAATCAATCAATCAATCAATCAATCACTCCTCAAATCCTCAAATCCTCAAATCCTCAAATCCTCGAATCCTCAAATCCTCAAATCCTCAAATCCTCAAATCCTCAAATCCTCGAATCCTCAAATCCTCAAATCCTCAAATCCTCAAATCCTCAAATCCTCAAATCCTCAAATCCTCAAATCCCCCTTCTACCAAGAAAAGACAAGAAAAGACAAGAAAAGACAAGAAAAGACAAGAAAAGACAAGAAAAGACAAGACAAGAAAAGATAGGTACCTACAGCCCGACGAACTAGCTGAGGAGGAGAAATTGCAGTCTTTTAGCTTGGTATGAGTATGAGTATGGATGGGTGGGTGGGTGGGTGTGAGGATAAGGATGAGTGAGGGTGTGGGTGTGGATGAGGATGTGTGAGTGAGTGAGTGGGTGTGAGTAAGTATGAGTGAAGGTATGAGTATGAATGAGTGAGGATGAGTGAGGATGGGTATGGGTGTGGGTGTGAGTATAAATATATATCTTAATACCAATAAAGCCTACCCTACTCCATATCCATCTAGTTAACATCGAAAAGAGGATAGGTAGGTAGGTAGGTAGGTAGGTAGGTAGGTAGGTACCTTGTTAGGTGTATTATGTACTATGTAGTATGTAGTATAGAGCGTATGCTGTAGACTATATATAGACAGATAGATAGATAGATAGATAAGGTAGATAGATAGGCAAGCAGATAGATAGATAGACAGACAAGCAAGCAAACAAACAAGAAAACAGACACCTCTTCGCTTACGCCCGCTTGATGACATGCTGAATGAGGGAGTGAGTGAGGATAAGTGTGAATGATTGAGTGTAAGGATGAGTGTGAGTAAATGAGTGAGTGAGTGAGTGAGTGGGTGAGTGAGTGTAAGGATGAGTGTGAGTGAGTGAGTGAGCGAGTAAGTGAGTGGGTGAGTGAGTGAGTGACCAAGTTCTTTAAAAGGGTATATCTTCCTTATTCTAGCCTATCCTATCCTATCCTATCCTATCCTATCCTACCTTATCCTATATCCTATGCAGTCCAACCCTATCCTACCCGACCCTACCCTATACAACCCTACCCTATACAACCCCCCCTAAACCCCATCCAGAACCTCCTTGACAACCACCCCCAGCATCCTCAGCCCAAAACCCTCCGCCACCCCCCGAAACACCCGCAGCCGGCCCACCACCTCCTCCCTCCGCACCGTCTCGGTCCAGACGCCGGAGCAGGCGCAGTGCTCCATGAAATCGTTCACCCGGACCGCGCGGCACTTCCCGCACTTCAGGTCCTGACCGGTCCACTCGCTCAGCACCGCCTGCACCATGCCGATCAGGCGCTCCTCGATCTCGAGCCGGTTGAACTCGGCGGCGCAGAAGGTGCACCGCCACGGCGGCGCCGAGGCCTCGCCCGGCGCCAGCGGGAGCAGGTCGTCGTCGCGGCAGAAGTCGACGTCGCGCGCCATGGTGCAGTTTTCGCAGATGAGCTGCGGCAGCCGGAGGGAGGAGGAGGGGTTGACGAAGCGGGCTTCGGTGCTGAACTCGCGGATGTCGAAGAGGGCGAGGAGGTCCTTGCGGAGGAGCCGCGCTTCCATGGTGATGTTCTTGTCCAGGCTCAGGACTTGCATCAGACTTTTGACGAGCTGGAGTGCCGGATTTGAGAGCTGGAGGTGGGAGCCCGGCAGCACGGGGAAGGAGTAGTCGGATGCCAGTTCGGGATGTAGCATCTCGTCTTTCTGCCGGCGGATGAGGCCAGCAATCTGTCGCTTCAGAGGCTTCTCGAAATCCTTGCCAAGGATGATCTTGTCCTCTGCGGCATCCTCACCCAGAGCACGCACAGGCAGTTGTGTAGGGCGCGGCGTAGACTCGACGCCGTTGATCAAGGCGGGACGTTTGAGAGCGTGCATCTTCTGCACGAACTCGACGACCCAGTCGTTAAAGATCGGTTGCATGGGCACAGGAAGGAATCTGCTAAGCTGCCAGTGCATGATGCAGTCGAGAGTCTGTTTCTCGGCTTCGACGACTTCGGTACAGGCTTTGCCGCCGTAATTAAACTCGTCGTACCAGATGAGATAGTCCCAGTACTCCTTGATCTCCAGGTCGAGAAAGTGAAACAAGGGCTTCGCCTTGATGGACTTGAGAATGTACTGGCTGTAGGCATACGCGTTCCCCACTTCCGACTTGGTGGTTTGGAGTAGGAGGCGGTTGGCATTTGCAAAGACGACGTGAGAGCCAACGCGTCGAAAATCGGTCATGAGCTGCTGGAATGCTTTACGGGACATCATCTGCACGTAGTAACGCAGCGATCGATCGTACAAGAAGGAGTCCGGATTCTCCACCCATCGGACGAGGTGCTGAACCATAACATCAGCCATGCTGCTGCCTTTGCATGCTTCGGTCCACCAGGCTTTAACCATCTCACGAAGAACAGTGACACCAGCAGTCGCGAATGCATTGTCAGAATAGAGCACATTGGTTCCGTCGCTCGGGGAGTCATCTTGGGGCGCCGCGGGATTGAACGAGATCGAGTCACTTCCCTCCAGCTCGTTGATCAGAGACGAGGTCAAGATCGTGTTGATGGCCAAGTTCCGTACATCGATCTCAATGCACACCGAAGGGTACGTTCCAGGATTGTTGACCGAAGGCATCTGCACGGTCTCCAGAGGCCCAAGAACATCATCTTGCTCATACCCAGCATGATCCGGTCTGGGGCCCCCAGACCACCACAGCACCACGTTGTTCTTCTGCAGTCGTCTTGCGTACGCAATATCGATCAGGAACCGAGGATCGTCTCTCTCAAGATTGCAGAGTGGAACATCACCATATCTGGCCAGCTCAGTGAGATGCAGGATCCACGACCCTAGACTGAGATAATGGTTGACAAGCCTCTTTGCAATGAATGCTTGCCACTGCAGTGGGGGGAGATTACTATCCGAGATCTCATACTTAAGTGGCAGAACGGGGAAGTCAGCCAAGATGGGCACGTCGTGGATAAGCATCCGTCGCTGCGGTGACTGTACGACAAGCATCAGCGGCTTGGACTCGTCATTCTTCATCTTCTTCACAATGTCGCCAACTTCCAGAAGTGCTTTTCGTCTCGTGGTCACCTGGCTCGTCTTGAATTGCAGCTTTGCCTGGTACTTGAAGCAGTTTTGCCATTCCTGCCCTTCGGCCTCCTGCTCTCTCCGCAATAGCATCTCGCTGTAGATCTTGCCAATATTGGGCAGGTCTTGCGCCGAGTCCTTGGACTTCTGGAGGATCACAACATGGGCTTGCTCCTTGTTCGAGGAGAACAAGGCAAAGACTTGGCGGTCGCCGGCAACGACGTGGTACAGGTACAGGTATACCATTGGCGAGGTGGTGAGGTAAGGGTTCTTAGGAACAGCACGGCGTAGACCAGACAGATCGAATCCAGACTCGAGACCCTTACCGAGCACACCCGGTTGGGACTCGTCAAATGTGCACAAGCTTCCAAGCTGAAGGACAGCGCGGATGCTCAGCGGGACCTGCTTTTCGTACACGCCCTCAACGCTAGGATGATTGAAAAGCAAGGAGAGCTTCTGAGCGTCGTTGATATAGACAGTCTCAGGCATCGTAAGCTTGAACAAGTGCACCGAGGGATGTCCATTCGGCAGCGTATGCGTGACTTTTTGCGCTTCACACCCATCGACTTCGATATCCGGAAGCTCTTTCCCCTTCAAATTCAGGAAAATCTGTCTCGGCACATTGACTCTCAACGTATGAATTTTCGAGTCGATGAGCACGAATGCCAGCACAACACCCGGACTTGTGGTGCCTCGCAGCTGAAGCACCTGCCAAGTACTCTTGTAAGTGATCTCAGCTTGATTTTGGAAAGTGACACCAATGTTGTTCTGGGTGACGCGAGACTCTCCGAACAAATGCCGTCGACGTATCCGTTCTTGCTTTTGGATCTTCCACTTCTGCTTCTGGTACTGGAGGAAGCCTACGTAGTCCTGGGTTGGGTCCGGCATCGTCTCTGGCAACGCCGCATAGGGGTTGATCGAGATAGGCCTGTCTGGTTCTGGCGATTTTCGTTTCTGGGATTTCTGCGTCGCCTGGGACATTTGCGCTCCAAGAGCCTTTGGCTTCAGCAGCTTGACGCCAAAATCCTCTATGTCGCCAGCACGGGGATCCATCAAGTTGGTGATCTCTTCCAGAGGTGCCGACTTGAACGAGTCCGTCACCTTCTTCTGCTTTAGCTTGTCCTCCTTGACATTGATCCTCCTTTGCAGCCACTCCGGGTGAGGCACTCTCGGGACCGGATTTCGGACCTTCTGCAGCGCAGCTGGAATCGTAATCAACTTCTGGATGACCGAGCCCAGACGCTCAAGATAGTAGCCCCAGTCAAGGAGAGCTCTGGGGTCCATATTTGCCGGATCTTCCTTCAGCCACTTCCGCAAAAAGAATCGCTTCACTTTAGTCTCGGCCGAGAATATGGCAACCGGAATAGCACGCTCGGTGACAGGAGCGTTCTTCGGCTTCGAGCAAATGATGTACTTGCAGTTCAGCCCCTTGTCCTTGACCATCTGCTCGCCCAAGAAATCAGCTAGGCGCTTGGCTGTCGTGATCGAAGTCGATTTCTGAGTTCCATATTCCTCCAGTGTCTTGGACATACTCCGATTCTCGCAAATGAGGTCAATCAACTCCTCATCAGCAAGCGTCTCACCCTTCGAGTGCAAGACGTCAAGCCACTGGTTAGCAACTTTCGCAACAGCAGCGTAGGTCTCAGTCAGGGTCGTGCCTTCCAAGAAGAATTTGAAAATCTGCTGCTGGAAGATCTTGATGAGCTTCAGTTCTCCTCTTCGCTTGACTTCAAAACCCTTAAGTTCGGCCAGGCTTCCGTCATCGTTGAACACGGCATAACGCTTCTTCAAATTCTTGTCTTCCTCTTTCGACGTCGGCAAAATCATAGCACGGTACGGGCCGTCGACCTCGAAGAAGATGGAATTGTCGCTATGCGTCTCATACTTGAAGGTTTTAGGATCAACGAGCGTCTGGTATTGGTGGTTTGTGAATTTGCCATGAACCAGGTGATTCAACATGACACAAGGATACGAAATGGCGAGTTTCTTGCCGTTCTTGAGAGTGAAGCCGTAGTTCTCCGGGAAAGTGGCAGGCAGCATGCACCAGATACCGTCCGTGTCCAGTTCCAGAGGTCGGCCAATTCGCTCAACCAGTTGACGAGCCATCTGGATGATATGAGCACCGGTCAGACAAGTAACGCCAGCCATCTCCATAGAGTACCATCGCGATCCTTTTCGCATAACATATCCATAGAACGAGTTGAGAATGACCTTGTGCGCCAATTGCAGAGAGTCGAAGAGAACGATCATCTTCTTTCCACTTTCAATCTCTGCCTGAGGAGCACCAGCAGCCTTGAGAGCTTCCGTCTTGCCCTTCCAGACTTTCTGCTTCCCTTTATAGTCGTATCGTCGGTCTCGAAAGTCTTTGACTGTATCTATGTAGAACGGGTTCTCTCGCTGGCAAATGATTGCCTCCCGCTCGATAGTTTCCGACTCGTGAATCTTGTGGTAGATCTTCTGACTGTAAACTTGTAAACGTTTCCGAATCAAGGTCGATTGCTCATCGGGGGACAAATCTTGAAATGTTCTCATCGGACTGTTCGGCCATTTCCCAGGGAAGCGTTCGTTCTCGAGAGAATGCTTGATCATATTGTACTCGTCTCGTTTCGCAGGCAGATACTCTCCTCTCCATGCCCAAGGCATCCTCCGATCGCAAGTCTTTCCAGGTCTGTTAAAATCGCACGCCGCACAGTCCGCTTCCTGTATCATGGAATCCGGCTGCAATCGGTTTGTCGTCATGATATTGGGGTACATAGATGCAACATCCAGATGGTATATCAGGGGTCGCTCACTCCGGTTCGCAGTCTTCTTCAAGCTGTTCAGCCGGTCCATTATCTGTTGCTTGACCTCATCATAATTCGTCACGTCGTCAAGAGATTTCTTCTCTTCAACCACAATACTGAACTTCAAAGCAGCGTCCAAATCCGCGAGAAGCTCGTCGATGGCCGTAGTATCCACGGCAAAGTTCACAGGAATATCCGCACGGAACACACCTGCCTCGATACTTTCGACGTGACCACCGACATAAGTCTCAGATTCGAGTAAATGGCCATCCCAGAACGCTTCCTTGGGTGAGACATGCTTATTCGGCAGGACAATCTCCTTCTGGTACGCCTGTACCATGAGCAGCATCTCGCAAAGAGTTCCAGTTCCCTTCCTCAAGACGGCATCCGGACCCAGCGGAATAATCGTACACAGTGAGAAAATGAAGGGATGCACATATTTCATGTACAAGTAATAAGTGGCCACGGCATCAGAAACCGAGTATTCAGAGAGCACTTGAGGCTTTTCGCTGGCGTACTTCAACATGAGTTCCGGATCGATTTCGTCCGGGTCGTAGCCAAGCTTGGCTGTGGTAACGGCTTTCAGACCTCGACTTCCTTGCGGCAAGTAACTGTCGCGATTGACCCAGTGGAAGCAGTCCATATGTGCACTGTAATCGCAGCAATACTGGTCCTCGGGTCCTTTCCGCCAGCCGATTTCCTGGTACATGTCGATTCCATTGACACTTGCTCGCGCGTCCACAAATGGCCAATCGAAAAAGTCTCCGTTGTAAGTCGCAATCACTGTCGGCCTGGCCTCCTTGATGTGAAGGAAGAACCGTTCAATCACTGCCTTCTCGTCCGGCTCGTTGAAAATCATAAACGGGCCCTCGTACTCCGGTTTGGGTGTGTACTCGAAATCTTCAATATCCTCGGAAACAATCTCTCGATTCGTAATTAAGAACCCTTGGCCATCAATCATATACGAAATCATCATGATTTGATCTATCGTCGCATCCGGAAACTTCAGAGGCAATTTCGTCGTCTCGATATCGTACGCCATAACCACCGGATCCGCTCTTTCCAAACGCTCTTCTAAACATTTCATCGTTGTGACGCCGTGTTTGGCCTCGACCGAGTACCATTTTCCGGTTCGTATATCTGCCCTGTCAGCAGGTTCACTCGCGAAGATAGTTGGCGGCGTGGCATACCCAAATCTATCATTACCCGTACGTGATATGGTACATCCCATTCCCTGATATCGACAATAAAATCGCTTGCATCGGCCACAGAAACATTAACCCGTCGCTCGTCATTCCGGTCGTCATCAAAAAGGTCGAATCCAGCATTCGCACTATCACCCTCATCAGTGCCTCTCTTCCCATCCCCGAGCCTCCCAGCAGCGCCACGTACCTGGCCACCTCGGCATATGTATCCATCGCATTCATGTTCTTCTTATTCTTCTCGGCAATGGGCATGATATCCCTCCTCGCGGCCAGCAGATCCGCCGAGTTTGCAAACCGCAGCTCAAAGAACGTCCGCCGGTAGCCGAGCAGGTGATTCGGCATCTGCAGGTCCTCCTTCTCGACCTTCCTCATACTCTTCACCACCCCTCCGCCCGGCGCGCGCTTCAACCACTCCTCCGCCTCCGCCTCGTGGCCCCGCTTCACCGCCACCAGGAAGTACGGGTCGTACTCCAGCGTCGCCTTGAACGTGCCGCCGTCGTCCTCGAGGAAGTAGCAGTCCAGCGCCGCTCTGCCGTCCGGGTTCTTTGCGTCCTCCACCGACGTGGCGCGCACGTTGACCAGCCAGCCCGTCTTCTTCTTGCCGGCCTCGTAGCGGGCGAAGCCTTGCGCCTCGTCGATTTCGTGGGCAAGTCTGATGGCCTCACGCTTCGCCTCGGAAGAGGTGCCTTCGGCGCCCTTAGAGGCTGTGAAGGTCTTTGCCTTGCGGGGGCCGTGGTAGGCTTGCTTTCCGCCCCGACGATATCCATTCTTGGGTATGCGTAGACCGGGCATGGCGGCGATGGTAGAGGGAAGAGGGTGGTGGTATGGTGCAGGATGTCCTGCCCTGCGTGGTAGTGTGGACAGGAGGAAGGGAGAACAGGGGTCAGTCAAGTCTAATTAAAGAGCTGGCTTAGATTTTGTATCTGATGTTTCCTAATCGCAGTCAAGTCGTGACGAGCAAGATGAACCGGGAGATCTGAGTTGACGAGTTCGGGGCGATTGGGCGTGGTGTTGTGAAGGTCGATTATTTGATGCGAACGCGTAAATCTCGCGAAGCGCGTCGAGTCGAGACAGACGCGTGTGGGCACTTTAAGTTGAACTTCGCGCACCAGCCACATCGACACCGCCACAACAGAGTCGATGATTACATGTTGACTCGATCATCCCTCAACTCGTAAATCACAACGACAATCCACACCCGCGACACACGACACACCTAATCATGGCCGGCGACACCAGAGAAACGCACCCGACCCCGACCCCACGGGGCCCTCCCCCGGAATCAAGCGAAGGCCCCAACAAGGTCTACGAGGTCTTCAACACGCCGCCGGCGAGCGCAAATGCCCTGCCAGAGGGCTCCGGCCAAAACACCGCCGGGCGGCACGAGCAGGCTCCCACGCTGACCAGCGCGCTGAAGACGGTGCGCCTGGGCGACTTCAAGCAGGTCCACATGTACCCGTGTGTGCGCGAGAGTCTGCTGATGGGCATCGGAGGGGCGTTTGGGGTCGGGGGCGTGAGGGCGGTTTGGGGCGGTGGGTTTACTTTTCTCTACATCCATCTCCCACAACACCATAGATCATACCTTGCGCTGCTGCTGTTTAGACGCAGGGGAGCGGCAAAGGGGGGACTTGCAGAGGGGGGTTTCGGCTCGGTGGCTAATGACATGTGGGATTACAGCTCCTCTTCCGAAAGCTTGTAATTGGGCCGTGGGAACCTTTGTCTTTACTTCGTGGGCGAACTACGAGTTTTGTCTCTATCGGAGGAGTCTGGAGAGGGCGCATATGAAGCGAGCGGTGGAGATTATCGATCGCAAGAAGGCCGAGAAGGAAATGGCCGCCAAAGCAAAGCGAGAGGAGAGGAGGAGGCTGAAAGAGGAAGCGGATCGAAGAGCAGAAGAAGCTGCGAAGGCCAGGTGGTGGAAGTTCTGGTAGTGCTAGACTGCACGCCGTGTACATGTATTATGATTCATTACATAGAGATTGGGACCGAAGATGGTATACCCGTTCAAGCCATGTCCCGGCTTTCCAAATCCAGACGCCTTCGCTACTTCAGAAATGTTCGCTCAGTATCCAGCAGAGCCTGCCACCAGCATCTATCCTGGGCCGCTTCCATCCGTACATGATGTGGAAAGTTCCCATCATGTCCAGACTATCTTCGTCGCCTCCATCTCGCCGAACCTGACCCTCCTCGCATTTTCTTGCTCCATCTTAGCTGCCTTTGTCACCTGGCTCCCTCTCCGTCTATCTATCCTCGACTGCCTCCTCTCCTGCTCCTCCCTGTTCTTGTAGGCAGCCATCTGCTTTCTCCGCTTCTGCGTACGCACATACGCCTCAGCAGCTGTCGGCTTGAATCCAATGCCATTAATGCCCTCCCCATCATCCTCTGGATCCGAAGGATCATGACCCGTAATCTCATCATCATGCCAAGTATTCGCTGCTCTCTCTTCATCCACAACTCCTTCCACCCTCCCATCCCCCGCTTTCCTAGCCAAACTAATCAGCGGCGGAGTCCCAGCCCTTTTTTTCCTAGACTTCGACTCTGCGAGCCTGTAAACGAGCGGGTACGCCCTCCCTGTATTCCTCGTCACCAGCGCAGGGCTCCCTCGAAAAATCATCTGGTCAAACTCATTGCCGGTCGTAATCTTCCCGACCACAGGATCCATCGTCCGTTCCAGCGGCGGCGCAACAAACATCCTGAACTGCGGCGGCTGCGGCGTCTCAGGAACCTCCCTCCTCTCCATCTTCACCAGCTTCGCCCTCTTCCGCGCCCCGTCATCATTCCCACTTCCATTCCTATCCCCGTCCTCATCCATCCGCTCATCACACGCCCTGGGCCAGCCCACACCCATCCCTTTCCCGCTCTCTTTTTCCCGACTCCGACTCGGCAGCCCAAAATCAGACCTGGCCCCCGTACCTGCATCTTCTAGCCGTAGGGCTTGGAAGTTACACGCAATCCCGGCCCGTGGCGATGCCGCCCTGCCGTCTCGTTCGCGCGGTGGTTGCGGAGGCGGGAGCAGGTACGGTGAGTAGGATGTCGGCAGTGTGTCTTCAGGCATGGGCGAGGAGCGCGGAGGAGTTGGCGGGATGGTCGAGATGGCAGGGAGGCCCCGTTTGCGTTTGGGGGGACCGTTGAATGTGAGGGCGTGGTGGGGGTGGGTGGTGGACATGGTGGGTGGTTTGAGCATTGGGGTTGAGGGAGGGTATAGGCGGCCAGGCTTGCCGTCGGATTCGAGGCGGTGATGTGAGTCTGTATGGAGTTGATGAAGTTTCTGGCAGGGAGTCACAAGAATGAAGTGTATCGAGTCGTTAGTTGAGGAGTGGAGGTGGGAGGGCGGGGTCGAGTTTGGATATAGGTCTGGTACCCCTTGTGACGGTGAGGGTGAGGGTGAAGGTGACGGTGAAGGTGAAGGCTAGCTAGTGGAGAAACTGCATCAAGTCACGTGGACAAATTTACTTATTGACACTGGTCTCTCTCTCCTTCAGAAGCATCTCTCTTGTTATGCAAACCCCCTAACAAAGATGAAAATCATCTCTCCTTACTTATCTCTATTCACTACCGAAGATTCACGGAGAGCTTCTCACCAGAAAGGGAGAGGGACCATGGTCATAAGAAACATGTTGGGTGTTGGGTGATGGGATGGATTTTGATGGGATGGATGTTGATGGGATGGATGTTAATGGGATGGATGTTGATGGGCCCTCCTGAGCCGCGTGAAACAGACAGCGAGCGATGAAACGCGAAGGGATCGAATGTATTTTGGGCAAAGGTTGTAGTTGATTGTACCGGTAATCTAGTGATGATCGCTACTTATATTTAGACTTATATAACTGAGGTTAATTGTACGTAAAGGAGAGGAGGCTGAGTAGTGTGGCTGGCGCAGGAAGTCTTGTCCATCATCCCAAGTCACTGGACCCACTCCAAGATACAGGATCACCAGGTGGCTCGAGATGCCATAGCAACCCCTCGTCGTGCTCCGTATGGATATGAATAGTAATGCCCATCGGGTTTTGCATCGTCATCGACCCCGAAATCCATCAAGTCAGTAGACCGAGTTCTGTACGTAGGTAACGGTAGTTGTAGCTTAACTGTCGGATATAAACTTCGGATATAAACTTCGGATATAAGATGTGAGTATCCCCGAAAGCTAGTCTTCGTTCCTCGTTCCTCGTTCCCCGACCACCTTTCTCACCTATCACCTACAGAGTACCGGTACACCTGCAGACAGTCTTACAACTACCTACTAACTCTCCTACAACTCCAAACACTTACCCTTCTTCTTATCTTCACCTACAGTCGAACAGACAGACAGGCATGGCTTCCTCCCAACATCACCAACCATCATCCCCGGGCCAAAAGGACGTTCCTCCGTATGAGTTGCTCTACTGGCCAGGCATCCCCGGCCGTGGTGAACACATCCGTCTGGCCTTCGAAGAGACCTCAACCCCGTACACTGACTCGGCTCATGTCGAAGATGGCATGGGTCTCGTGACCTCCCAGATCTCCGCCAACAATCTCGGCGACGCGCTTAACCCTCCTCCCCTGGCACCACCTATCCTCCAGCACGGCCCGCTTCTCATCAGCCAAACGCCCAATATTCTCTTGTACCTGGGCCCGAGGCTGGGTTTGGTCCCCAGCGTAGAGGAAGATGCCAGCGGTGTCTATCGCGTCAACGAACTGGCGCTCACGGCACTCGATGGGCTGAGCAACGAGGTCCACGACTGCCACCACCCGGTGTCGACGGGATTGTACTACGAGGACCAAAAGGCAGAGGCCCAGCGCAAATCGCAGGACTATATCAAGAACCGACTTCCCAAGTTTCTGGCCTATTTCGAGAGAGTCTTGAGCGGCGAAGCTAGCAGAGGCGGGACGTGGCTGTACGGAGGAGTGTTGACATACGCAGACCTCGTGCTTTTCCGTCAGTACTCGCTTCCGTATGCCATCGTACTACTTACTGCTTGTTGTACTGTACCTGAAAGAAAGCTTCGTGAGAAGTTCTTGAGAAGACTTTATAAGAAGATACTAGTATTTAACCCTGGTGCTAGAATGTCTTGACGGCCTTGGATTTGCCTTCCCGAACGCGCTCAGCCGGCTCGCGAAGGGGGGGGATTACGCTAAGGTCTTTGCGCTCTACGAGAATGTCCAGCAGCGGCCGAACATCAAGAAATATTTGGCAAGCGGGAGGAGACAGCAGTACGGGATGGGAATCTACAGGCACTATCCAGAGCTGGATGAACCATGATGGCGAGTCGAGCCTGATTCGGTCGGGGCCGCGTGGTCTCCGACGGATTGAGGTTGAGGAGGAGTGTGGAAGGAAGATGCAGATTGACTACGGAGTAGTACTGTATTGTAGTACGGTACTGGAAGTAGGTACGGTACTTACTGTATTTTCCAAATTCCAAGCGCCGAGTGCAAGGTTGGCTTTTGCAGATCCTTGCATTCTGATCTTCATCCACCATGTCCACCAAGGTGGCGCAGATTGATGGGGTATCTTGTTTGAAAATAATTTTTTTTATATATTGTGTTATATATATATATAAACACGTATATGTATATAAATTTTTTTCTCTCTTTTTTTGCTCTATTTTTTTTGAGTCTGGGCCAATCAGGAGCACTTGTCAGGGCAGAGCACCGGGCATCGGTACGGGTCTTGTGTCGACAGTCCGTACCGTACGGGACCGTATGGTAACCGGTAGGCTGTACCGGTACCACTATTTGTTGTGGTGCCCGTACCGTAAGCGTAAACGTAAGCGTAACCGTAACCGTAAGCGTAACCGTAAGCGTGAGCGTAACCGTAGGTAGGGTAGGAATTACAGAGTTTCACTGCGAATACGATATGCGAAATCACGGCGGCTGGGGTTCTCTTCTGCAAACAGGGCTGGCTTGGCCTTCGCTTCGGCTCCTGCACATAAGCACCGATATAGCTGGAAGGGGCTTAGTGTACGGTCGGATGCGCATGTCTTTGGACCTGTCCCGCGTACCAAGACAACCAAGAGTCTCCAGGAGTTCAGACGGTTTTTCAGACGAGTCGAAGCCGCTTGGCCGGGGGTCGTTTGCAGTTGGGACAAGAGTGTCAAGAGCCACTAGCATTGCTGTGCTCCGTATAGAGCCTCTCTGCTATCCGAACATAATTTCACTTCGCCGTGGGTTTTTTTGGACTTACCTGTACAGCACGATGTGAAGAGGGGCTATGTTTATCCGTATATAATATCTACCCCGTCGCCGTGCTTCTGACTTTCTGCTCATACCATCAACACACTCACACTCACACTCACACTCACACTCACACTCACAATCACACTCACATCTCACATCTCACAACCCAAGAAATCCTCAACAGCTCTACTGTAGACCTGTACACCCGCTTGGTCAAGAGACGGATCCGTCCCGATTTCCACAACCACAACCACAACCACAACTACAACCACATCCACAACCACAACCACAACAACACTTCGGAACCCTCCTACGGTCACGTCCAGTAACCTGAAGTGCTTGCTGTCGCCCGCCGTCCACACCCCAACCCAACCCCAACCCCACCCAGCACAGACGTCCTCATGGCTCCCACGCTCACTACCGCCGCCCTGGCGGGTGCCGCTGCCATCCTCGTGGCGAGACAGGAGGTCAACGCGGCCGGGGAGGAGAGTAACTTCAAGCATTACACGCCCAGCAAGGCACTGGCACTCGCGTTTGCAGCATTATTCGGCGCCAGTTCGATCTGGCACACGTGGACGATGATTAAGAGAAAGGCCTGGCTCTACACCGCGTTCGTGTGTGGTGGCTGGAGTGAGTATCCCGTCTTCCTCCGCCCATGCCCCCTCATGCACCGGTGCCTCGACTAACCACCCTCTTCATAGTGATGACCATCGGTTTCATCGGCCGCTATATGGCCGCCAACGACGTGTTTGCCAGCGGACCGTACATCATTCAAGCGCTCTTCCTGATCCTGCCGCCCTCCCTCTACGCCGCGACGATCTACATGATGTACGGACGGATCGTCGTCTTCGTCGAAGCCCCCGAAGCCTCCCTCATCCGGCCCAAGTGGGTCACCAAGATCTTCGTGACGGGTGATCTGCTCGCCTTCGTGATGCAGGGTGGTGGTGGTGGTCTCACGGCATCTGACAACCCCGACACCGCCATGATGGGACAAGACATCCTCATGGCCGGTCTGGTCGCCCAGCTCATCTTCTTCTGCTTCTTCCTGCTCATCTCGCTCGTCTTCTGGAAGCGCATGCGCTCCAGCCCAACCTACTACTCCATGCCCAAGTACGGCAAGTACTCGTGGCAGCAACTGCTGAAGCTGCTCCTCGCCGCCGCCGCCATCATCATCTTCCGCTGCGTCTTCCGTATCATCGAGTTCTCGCAGGGTGACGACGGCGCCCTCATGAAGAAGGAGTGGTACATCTACGCCGGTGACTTCGCCCCCATGCTGTTCGTCCAGTGCGCTTTCCACTGGATGCACACCCAGGACGTCTTCCCCCCGGGGGGCGTCTCCGGCAAGACGGCTTCGGAAGGTGGAGAGTTTGTCGAGCTCGGCCAGCGCGCGTCGCGCTAGATGGTTAAGGGATGAGGAGGAGGAGGAGGAGGAGGAGGAGGAGGATTGGGGGAAGATCAGTACCCCGACAGTCAAATTTGCCTGACAACTGGGACAGCTTGCAAGGAATGGGGGGAGGGGGGTGGGGGGAGGGGCGCGCCGGGGAAAATCGAAAAACCCATGGGCGAAGATACCACACAGCAATGTGACGATGACGGCGAGATGGGGGCATGTTCTTTGGTTTTTGTTTTTCATCTTGAGGAAAATCTCTGGTTTTTTTTTTTTTTCGGAAGGCGCCTCTGACTCGCCGGCCGGAGTTGAGGAGTTCTTGGGAAATGGCCCCCCTTCCCCCCCCCCATTATGATTGTCATTGTCTGTATGTCATACAATACACGTATAGCTCTACATACTTTTAGTTTAGCGCGCTTGCTCTTGTTTCTCACCGAAAGAAAACATCACCACGATGGTGTGTTTTTCTCTTGTAATTCTACATAGAAGATGAAAAGAAGATGGATGATCCACGAATCTCTTTTTTTTTGTCTTTTCTCCTTGGTCCTATCGCTCTGTTTCCCCTGTCGGGACGAGAGGTTTCTGTGTGCTGCCTACACTTCCTCTGTTCTGGTGCGTGTGATTGTTTACTTGATTGGATGGGAGGGATAGGATGGGATGGGATGGGATGGGATCCTTACTTCCCCCTTTTACCCTTTTACTCTTTTACCCCTTCACTCGCTCCCCTTCACTTACTTGTACGGTACTTGTTCCTTGTCTGCCCGGGGGCACCCCGCTTACTGTACTGTACTATACTGTACTGCATTTTATTCTTTTCTATTCTATTCTATTCTATTCTATTCTGCTCTATTCCTCTACAGTACAGATTCACGAGATGCACAGATGCACGAGATGCACGAGATCCATAAGATCCACGAGATTCACGATCGAGATGCACCAAAAAAAAAAGGTAAATAAAAAAGTAAATAAAAAAGTAAATAAAAAAGTAAATAAAAAAGTAAATAAAAAAGTAAATAAAAAAGTAAATAAAAAAGTAAATAAAAAGTAAATAAAAAAGTAAATAAAAAAGTAAATAAAAAAGTAAATAAAAATCACGAATAGAAAAGAATAGAAAAAATGGAGAAGAAAAGGTGAAAAGGTGAAGGAAGATAAGAGAAAACAGAAGAAAACAGCAGAAAAGAAAAGAAAATTAAAAAAAGTGTAAAAAAAAAAAAGGTAATAAAAAAAGGAAAAAAAGGGGTCACATCCATGCGTCGTACGTCGTCGTACGTCGTCATAGAACGTCGTAGAACGTACGTAGTACAAGTAAGATCTACTTACCGGTACCGGTACCAGGCCCCCCCCCCCTGAGCTAAAGCTAAGATAAGCTAAGCTAAGCTAAGCAGGCAGGCAAGCCCTGGGCGGGCGGGCAGGTAAGCGAGCGGGCATGGCCCTGGTTGTCGAAGCTTGGAAGGTGGGGTGGGAGGAGGGGTGTATATAATGCGATATATATATACCTTAGATGTGTGTCAGCCAGCCAGCTACTTGGCATTTTAACTTGCTTGAATTGAATTGTATTGAATCGGATACATTCGGATGAAATTAATTCGAGTTAAATCGAATCGAATTAATTCAAATCTGATCGTATCGAATCGAATTAATTCAAATCGTATCGTGTTAAATCGGATCGTATCGAATAAAATCAAACAAATTACATCAAATAGATCAAATCAAAACATTTTTATAGAACCCCCCCTCCAAAAAAAGGGGAGGGGTTCAGTTTCGGAATTTACGTAAATAGCAAGTTTGATCAATGCGATGCGATGCCAGCGAGTTAGGTACCTAGGTAGGTAGGTTGCTGACGGGGCTTTCCCCGGATGTAAGTGCTGTGCGTTGTATATTGTAAGTAAGTAAGCTAGCTAGGTAGGTACCTATAGGTATGCGGATTTGAATCACTGCCGGTTTTTGTGGGGGGGGTGTGTTGTGCGGTTTATGAGGCTTGATTGATTAGGTAGGTCTGCGAAGATGGGTATTCATGGAGTGGGGGGAGGGGTATGGAAGCCTGAAGCAGACGAGCAGATAAAAAAAGCAAGCAGACAAGCAAGGAAGCAAGGAAGCAAGGAAGCAAACAAATAAGCGAATAAGCAAGCAGGCCAAAAGGAGAAAAAAGGAGAAACAATACATAAATATAAAATAATTTTTTTTTTCTTGTGGCGTTTTTGCGCTTTTCCGTCTTCGCATTTTTGCGTTTTTGACAGTAAGTAAGCTTGGAAAGGGAGAGAAGGCGAAGAAGAGGAGGGTGAAAGAAGAAAAAAAAAGACACAGCGAGCGAGTTCTCGACTCTCGACGAGATCAAATCAGATCAAGTTGGAGAGGAGAGATTTGGCTACGGGTTGTGGCGTGTTTACGCTTTTGAGGCTAGTTACGGGATTAAAAGGCTTGAGGGAATTAAGGGGGTTGAAGGGAGAAAAGGGATTGAGAGGGAGTAAAGGGATTAAAGGGACTAAAGGGAGTAAAGGGAGTAGAAAGATTAAGAGGATTAAAGGGCCTAAGGGGATGAAGGGATCAAGGAAAATAAATAAACAATCAAGTAAATGAGCGCTTTTTTTCCTGTTTTTCTTTTTTTCTTTTTTTTAAAAAAAAAAGACATTCAATGATTCCCCCGCCCCAACACTCAAAACCGAATGCCCGCTCCTATGCCCGCCACCATCTATCCGAATATTTCATTTTCCCTCGTGCGCGCGCATGGACGTAGAAATAGAAAAGCCCGATCGATCTGTGTGTGAAAAAAAAAACAAAAAAAAAGGGAAAAGGGAAAAAAAAGACCGGGGAAAAAGGAGCTATTCGTAGAGAAACGATTTTGTTATGAGATTGCGGAGAAGAGGCGTAGATGTTAAGAAAAAAAAAAGGACGCGCAAGATTATTTAACTAATTCTTTTAAGACTTCCGCTGCGTGAAGCAGGCC